CCAACTCTTGAGCTACTCTTTTACCAACGAATAGGGGGATTGACCGCACATTATAACGCCCCTACGAGCCTGTTTGGTGGGATGGGGATTCGAACTCACGACCCGCAGATTGCGAGTCGAGCGCCCTCACCACCTAGCCATGCCGGGCCATTGTCATACGTACTTACACATATATATATAATAGAAGTTCGAAAAATTATAGTAGGTGTAAAAATGAGAAAAACATTTTTGAATCAATCTGTCTTTCTAATTTCAAAGATAAATAAAAACTTCACAAGATAATTATTTTCTACCCACGAAACTCCTAAGTTGTTCTGTATAGAAGGTGTTTTGTTTTTTGTTAACACACGCCAGACATTCGGTTGTGCGATTCAAACCCACGTTGCAAACCACGCACCGTTTTTACTGTCTTGTTTTAAAAAAAGTGACGAAAGTGTTGTTGTTGTTGTTTTTACATCACACACGTGTTAGAAGACCTTGAAACGCCTCTGAAAATTAATGAGAAAACACGTTATCAGTTAAATTACTCTTCTAGTAATTACAGTCATCCAAGTTGTTGCCCTCGCATAAGATACAAAGAAACAGAAAATAATTTCTACGTCATTGCTATACAAGCGCCATCTGGTGGACATTCGTTAAACTATTTGGAAACTATTAAGTAATCTGTTTTTCCATTTCATTTGTTTATTTCATTTACACCAGATATCATGACCAGACTTTTAAGTACCAGCCATCTAATGTTAACGCGTGTTAATTTTTTTTTTACTTGATTATCCTCTGTTTGTTATCACATAAAATAAAGATACACTGATAAGCCATTTAAATTGTACATGAAATATTGTGAATAGAGACTAAAATATTTCAGCAATACGTGAACAATCTGACACCTGGATGGTTAGAAAAAAGTCAGTTGTCATGCTGACTTCGTTACTATGTGCCGAATACGTACATAAAAGATAAGTGTGATAATAACTCGTTCCTAGTTTTTCAAAATCTAATAAGAACCATGATAATACCCTATAGAAAAGTTTTACTATGTTAAATGATTTAGTGCCATTGGTTTTAATTGTAAAAGGATAATTAAAGAAGTTAACGTGATTTACAATGATGTTGAAAACAAAACTGAAAATATAACAATGATTGTTTCTCTCATTAAGTCTGAGATTCACACCACTAAAATCCGGGTTTCGATACTCGTGTGTGGGCACAGTACAGACAGCCAACAAATAAAGAAAGAAACTTTCCTGTCATTTTTAAGATTAATATAATTTACACCAAAAGATATATAGTCAAATTATCTAAAATATCTTAAAAACGATTTACAAAGATCGCTCAGAACATAATAACAGATATTAATAAAACATACTTAATTCCAGTAATTATATTTCTGTATATAAAAGAGAGCCGGATCGGACATGGCCAGAAGATTAACGTGTCAGGCTGCAGGTCAAAAAGTCCAGAGTTTTAGACGTGATGTCGCTGAACACGGTCCGCAATTTCAGCCATGGGCGTGTTATGAAAATGACAATCAATCCCGTTATTCGGACAAAGCTGGCTGCCCTCCATTCTGGTCAGTAGTTTTAAAATTAGGGACGGCTATAACTTTGTCTCGTTTCTCAATCTGTCTACCTGTAACCTTCGTTAGTAATCGTGTTGGATATGCGAAATTCCATTAACGCTCTGAAAACAACATTATTGGAACATAGTGAGTGTTCGTTTGTTAAACACAAAGCTTCACAATCAGCTGTCTATATTATGCCCAGGGCGGGTATCCATGATTTTTAACGTTATAAACCCTCGGATCCCCCCCCCCCCCCCGAGCCATCTGGGGCGGAACGTAGCGAGTGTGCTGGAATCACACAAACACTAGTACAATAAAACTACATCAGTTGTGATAGTTGAAAAACTAACTCTATCGTCAGCTCTTGTTTATTAGGTTTTTAATGAAATTACAAGCTCTTTAGAAGAGTATAAGTTACAAAACACAAAAACGTGTACAACAGAAATAGTGGATGTTTTAAAAGAAAATACATAATTTAGTAATAAGCTCATGTTTCTCTAAAGCACCACAATGCATTTCTTGCTCAAGAGACTAACGCTGGGCATTAAGCCTAACTGGTAAATCTGTCATTTGAGATTTGTGTGTGTACAATTTGAAACTGACAGTTGGAGATATACAGATAAGGCAATATGAATAACTGTGAAATTATCTTATAATTTTGTTTCGGTCATACTAATGTTATGACAAGTACTTAGCAAACCGTGCACTTCTGTACAAAAAAAAAGGGGGACTTGAATTTTGCATAATTGAGGATACGTTTGAGGACGGTTTCATTTTCAGGACACTGATCTAAAATCGGATAGTGGCCTTGAAAACTGGTTTCACCTGGTCAACATATATCAAAATTATAATCACAAGAAGAACATGTCTCATAAGTTTGTTTGTTTTGAATTTCGCGCAAAGCTACACGAGGGCTATTTGCGCTAGCCGTCCCTAATTTAGCATTGACAGACTAATGTGGCAGACTAGAGGGAAGGCAGCTAGTCATCTCCAACCACCGCCAACTCTTGGGCTACTCTTTTACCAACGAACAGTGAGACTGACCGTCATATTATAACACCCTCGCGGCTGAAAGAACGAGCATGTTTGGTGGGATTCGAACCCGCGATCCACAGATTGCGACTCGAGCGCCCTAACCACCTGGCCATGCTGGGCGTCTCATAAGTAAATAGTTTTATGAAATTTATTTTGAAGCTTTTACAGAAATCGTCAAAATACGTGTAGGTTAGTTTTTTTATACATTTTTGTTACTTAATTTATTTGAATTTTATAATTTGTGGAATAATCTTTGGCTTGGTTAAATATGTATACTGTTATATGTAATATATATATTTTTATTTACTATTTAGTATCACGAGAGTTTCAGTCCCTTGTACGAGGAACCCCTTTTAGAAACCGAATCCTGGTCAAATATGTCTTCAGGAGAGGACACCGAATCGCTTAAAATGGTGCGTCAGATTGATTCTCAGTTCTTGAAGTGTGGAATTTGCCTTAACAAGTACACAAATCCGAAGGTATTAATTCTAGCGCCATCATCGTATTTTGTCATTTTATTCAGGTTTCTATAAGCATTAAACAAATATACAAATCTAAAGGTAGATCAATCATCTTATTCTGTTTTTATATTTGTATAAAGTTTTAAAATAAGGAGCATGACTTAAAAATGATATACATTAAAAGTAGTTCATTAACAGCCACCATATTCAATAAGTTTTTATTTTAATATCATGTTTTGTTTTCTAACTTCTCGTAGATAGAACTATTTGTACAGGATTCATTAAAATTCGAATTAATTGGAAATATACTCTATGTCAGTTTTAGGAACCAGCGAAGCTAGCTTTTCCCTCTTCAGTAGTACTTATTGTTAAAGTACGTGTAATCTCTCGTGGCCTAGTAAATTCCTGTGTTATACTTGCTTGCTGTAAAACGATAATACTTACTCAGATGATATGGCAAAGAATAAAACTGAATTCAAGCTTAGTCTCTCCAAACTGGATGGTCTTTTACACACTTTGTTTACTATTCGTTAGACGATTTTGTATGCCTAATGGCGAATAATTGTAAGTTCATAAGTGTTCAAACTTCAAAACATCAATTACAAGAGAATCGTATAATATTCTCACACTAATTTCTTCAAGTAATGACACAAATAGATGTATATAGGACTCGCAATCTAATAGTTTTTTTGTTTTTTTTTACCCAATAAGTAGTACTGCTGTTTCATAGGCAGCGCTCTTTGTATGAACATTCTAGCTCAGTAGAAATGATGAATAAAATCCATATTAAACTGCTTCTAGCCACTTAAGCCTTTGGTGAATTTTCATTTGCTATTCGTCAAAAAATGTTATTACAGATCCAAACTGATGCTCCAATAACCAGGTTAATTCATAATAGGCAACCATTGTTGTCGCCATGTGGTCTTGCTTGCTCAAGTGGGAATATCGCTCAGAGAAAAATAATAAGGAGACGAGTGTGTGTCTTATAACAACGCCACATCGAGCTATCTGCTGTATCCGCCGAGGGGAACCGAACCCCTGATCTTAGCGTTGTAAACCCAAAGAGTTAGCGCTGTCCCACCGGGGGGTCTCTAAAGAGACGAGCAGAAGACTGAAAAACATATTGTTAATTTAAAATACCTCGTGAAATTCCCCCTTAGATTAATTCCCCTTTTAAGATTATTGACTGTCACATGCATTGACTGTCACATGTAAGCTTCAACTCACATTACACAAACTGTCAAGACACTGCTGAGACATGCTTTCAGGGCTCGAAATAATCAGAGGACGTTTCCACACACAACACCAACACGGTCTCCACGTCCCTCTTTGTTTGTAGTTAAGCACAAAGCTACACAAAGGGCTATCTGTACTCTGCCAAACACGGGTATCTAAACCCGGTTTCTAGCGGTGCAGGTCCACTGACATACCGCTGTGCCACAAGAGGGTTCCACCTCCCTCCCTTGCAGATGTCTGACTGTGAGACCACCTCAATCTTTGACATTCCATGACGAACCAGTTATCTTGAAATATATCACAACACACGAAATAAAGTCGGACAGTATCATTCAGCTGTATGTCACGTTCTCTCGCGAATGAAAGTACTATTGGACATGAATGGTGGTCACATGAAATACTGTTAGCACGTCGGCTATGCGAATGTTATGATCACCGTCCTCTTGTGGAAATAATTTTTGGTGTTGAAATTGCTTTCTTGTCGTCTCATTAACTTAGCTGCCAAGATAACATGACTTTTTGTTTGTTAGTTTTCAAAATTAGAATAGGCCCAATTAACGCGTAATAACAAAAACTAAACGACGAGCAAAACGTAGATGCTATTAATTTTATTGCAATGTTTATTGTCTGTCCACATTTTTTGTTTTCCATATTTTCAAAGACCTGATCTTACCCATATAGTTTTATAGTCATGGATGATATCCTCTGTTGTTTTTATTTCCTCTGTGTTGTGTAATCTGTCATCATTACCGTAAATTGCAACTTTTCTGTCAGAAACAAATACCTGACTCAATCAGAATTTTAGCGCATCGTAATTCAAGATGCTTGAATTGAAAAAATTAGAAACTCAACAGTAACCTGATAGCATTCATGAATGTATATTGCAGTTGTGAATTTTGTAGTAACGTGTGTAAATGGTATTGAACGGAGACTGAATAAACTGAATTGTCTACGTGTTTGATAAAACACAATAGCACAGAAATGTCCTTAACTTTTTCTCTTTATTCTCATGTAATTGACTTTCTGGTTTTTAAAGCAAATATACGATGTGTATGTTTCACATTTTATTTAAAGAAGATTTTCTTATTTAAATAATTATAATTATTTTTTATGCTCCATAGATAGCGGTTTTAAGATTTCGCTTCTTAAATGAACAAAATATTATATCAGTATTTTAACAAATGATAATATTTTTATAGGTTCTCCCCTGCCTACATACCTTTTGCGAGGCGTGTCTTTTAAATTACATTCCAGCAGAAAGCCTAACACTAACTTGTCCTGTCTGTCGACAACAGTCTATACTTCCAGAACAAGGAATACGTGGACTCCAGAATAATTTTTTCATCTTGAAAATGATGGAAATCTTAGACAAGCCCACAGCCTGTCACGGCTGTAACTGCAGAGTTCCGGGAACATTTAAGTGTATTATTTGTAACCAGTTTCTGTGTGATTCATGCACCAGGTTGCATCAAAAAGAAATGTCTACCAGTGGACATCAAGTTCTTTCTTTGAGTGAAATAGTTCTGTTTAAGGAAGAGGGAAAATCTAAGGATCACTTTTCCTTAATGTGTCCAAAACACCAGAGCCAAACTCTGAAATTTTATTGCATCGAATGTGAAACACCTATTTGCGTAACGTGCACAGACATTGAACACGGTGGACATTCTACTACACGCATGCAAGAGGCTGTAGAAGACCAGAAAGCAACCTTAAAAAACCTTGTGGAAAAAGCTTACTCTCAGGTCCCAGACTTCAGAGAATCTTTGGATTCTATCACTGCCCTATCGTATGCTCTTTCTAACAAACAATCTAAGATATCTAAAGACATTTGTTTTACCTTAGATTCTGTCACGGAACTTGTCCAGTTGAAAAAGGCCTTCTTGTTGAAAGAGCTCGATGAATGCCACAGACGAAAACAACAAGTTTTGCAGGAACAGAAGGAATACTTGGAATTGTGTTTAAAAGACCTCACAAATAGCTGTGAGTTTATTGAAAATACTTTAAATTACGGTAGTGACACTGAAATTTTTCTTGTTAACAAACAGATGGCTGAAAAGATTTCTGAATTCTCAGAAATGTCTGTCCAAAATATGCCAGAAGAAAATGACTACATTGTCTTTAAAGGAGCTGACCTGGGAGTCATTAAGAAAACGTTAAACACTTTGGGGAGCATACAGACCAATAGTGCCGTGGCATATGAAACTACAGCTTCGGGAGAAGGGTTAAAACAATGTGTTGTTGGCAAACAAACTCTTGTCAATGTTGTCCCTAAAGATAGGTTTGGAGAGATTGTAAAAGACGGGAATATGCTGTTTGAGACAGATATTAGCTCTTCGGAACTTTCTGTAACTTTGATTCCAGACATACTCGATCAGAAGAATGGTAGTTATGATATTGTATACAGTATATCTAAGGAGGGAGTATACAAACTTACAATTAAATTGTTTGGAAAACACATTAAAGGTAGCCCTTTTGAAGTGAAAGCATTTGTCGAAGAAGAAAGTTCATCTAGTGACCGGCCTACGAGTTCCAAGATACCCAGAACCACTGGTGTCAGACAGCGTAACTCCAGACGTTCATCCACTAATATATCCAGTGAATCCCAGCGCAAAAATAATCTTTTTGACGATGATTTAGTAATGAGAGTGGGTAATAGAGGGCGTGGTAAAGGAGAATTCACTAACCCTCAGGGCGTTTGTTGTACACCAGACAACCGAATTGTGATTGCAGATAGTAACAACCAGTGCATCCAAGTTTTCACCAAGGCAGGTGACTGTAAGCTGCGTTTCGGGGTCAGAGGTCGAAGTCCCGGCCAAATTCAAAGACCAACAGGTGTTGCAGTCACAGCTAACGGCAATTACGTCATAGCAGATTATGAAAATAAACTTCTAAGTATATTTGATCCTAGCGGGAAATATGTAAGCCGTATGGGTGTAGGTAAACTTTTAGGCCCAAAGGGAGTAGCTGTCGATAAAAATGGCCACATCATTGTTGTAGACAACAAAGCAAGTTGTTTATTGATATTTCAGGAAAACGGAAAACTGTTAAATAAATTTGGCACTAGGGGGAGCGGTCCAAATAAGTTTGCTGGACCACACTATGCAGCTATAAACAGTAAAAATCACATCATTGTATCAGACTTTCACAATCACTGCATCAAAATATTTGACTCTGATGGTGAATTTGTCTCCATGTTTGGGTCCAATGGGGAAGGAAACGGACAGTTCAATGCCCCAACAGGTGTCTGTGTCGACAGACAAGACAACATCTTGGTAGCTGACTGGGGAAACAATCGAATTCAGGTATGTTAGATATTGAGGATTTGATTTTAAAAATTCTAGTTGGTTTGTCATTTGTTCACTCACAAACTTTTTAATCTATTATATCTTTAAATCGCAACCTCGTAATTGTCCTATTTGGTTTTTTTACTTTTTCATAAAGATCATAGTAGTGAAAAGCAGATTGTTAGCTTGTTTGTAGTTAAGCGCAGGTCCTGAAAAAACAAAGTCTGACTTTTGCGGTTTGTAAACATTTTTGCTTACAGTCATACCTAACGTAAAATCATTTGTAATATAATGATAAAGCAAAACACGACCGTGATAATAGGAAGCATTTATTAAACATTTTTGTAATCATCAAAATTCCATCATCAGTAATCTGGAGGTACAGAACAAACAAACAATATTTGTAATATGTGATTCAAAAATATACAAGAATCGCATTTAGAAAACATGTAAAAAGTTGTTCATCTTTTAGACAATCTTAGATGTGGTAAAAGCGATTTGTGAAAAATAATAACAACTAAGCTGGTCCACCAATTTATTGACAAGATAATCTTAACTCAAGAGGACAAAGAGATCTTGCGATTTATGAGAAATATTAACAATTAAGAGGTTGTACCAGCTTATGAATAAGATAATTATAACTTAAGTTGATAAAAGATATATTTTATTAATTAAATCATGCTTTTATTTATAAACGAAATGGAAAGTTACAAATAACAAAAGTAGTACGTCATACTAAATTATTAACTTTACATTTTTCACAGATTTTTGACAGTAGTGGGTCGTTTTTGTCTTTTGTCAATACTTATGGAGATCCCTTATACGGTCCGCAAGGGTTAGCTGTGACGTCAGATGGTTGCGTGGTGGTGTCAGATTCCGGAAATCATTCTTTCAAGGTCTACAAGTACTTACAGTAAATCAAGTTTAGCTTAAAGGTAAGACCCTCACATCGATCCTGACTCTCCTCCCAATACAATGATCAATGTTTGTTTGTAGTTAAGCACAAAACTATACAATGGGCTATCTGTGCTCTGCCCACCACGTATATCGAAACCTGGTTTATAGCGTTGTAACTCTGCAGACATACCGCTGTGTCACTGAGGGACACAACGATCGCTAGAAATAATGCATAAAACTCTATCTGAAGGGTTATCTGATTCTGAACTGAAAGCAGCAAGTAAAACAGCCCCCAATTTAATCGAATTTCATCATCACTCTTATAATGCGCCCACTGTCCCAAAATGAGGAGAGCTATTTTTTTATGGCAACGAGACACAAACCATGTATCTTCTGATTTACACTCCGACGCGCTACCGACCATTTCACGCCTAGTTCTTCTCGTTATTAATAGAAGTTGGTGTCAGTTGAGGTCAACTAGCGATATTATTTTGTAATTAACCTGGTCATTTTGTTTCTATGTTCCATCCGGAGTCCGCAGCTAAACAAAATTTAGTTCATGTTCAAAGGTCAAAATATGTTATTAAAAGTGACAATATACATTTTTTCCATTACATCAGTTCAAAGAACAACTGACAGTTGATGTCAGAACAAACCTTTGCTCCCAAGAAAATTTGTTTGTTTGTAATTAAGTGCAAAGCTACACAATGGGCTATCTGTGCTCTGCCCACCACGGGTATTGAAACCCGCTTTCTAGCGTTGTAAGTCCGCAGACATACCGCTGTGCCACTGAGGGGTAAGGGAGAAATGAAACGATAAGAATGGCTTATTTGTTTTCACGAAGACTTCTTTAATTGCAAAATGTGTTACACTGACGTAGAACGATTTGTGCAAAATTGTCCAGGGTTTTATTTACTCAGTGTGTGTGCGTGTGTATAAGTGCATTAATATCTGAAGATCAGTGATCACTGATGTGAATTCATCAGTTGCATCATATAGTTTCATTTGCATTTTTATTAATGTAGTTTAAATGGCATTCAGTGCAGGTGAACTTTCTCCAAGCATTATGCATTTCCATTGTTGTTGTATCATATGAAAGTTAATTTAACTTAATAAAATAATAATAATAACTTCTAAAATTTGCTCTTGAAACACGGTTTGGAAAGCACATTTACGAAATGATTATTAATTTGTTGATTTTATTTCTTTTATTGAGTCAAAACAAGCAAATAAAAAATGTTGGGCGTCCTATCCACTTTTAACTCGAATTGGAGTGGATCAAATTTTGAGCTGCAAATTTGATTGGAAAAACTATTATAGAAGTGCGCGTATGTCTTAGTTTGTGTAGGGCAACGGAGAAGCTGCCTATTATCATGATTCGAAGAGATATAAGCTGAAATTAGATACCAAAATCCCATACCATAACCAGGTGAAAACTGTAGTTTCAAACAGTAGAATGTTCACCACGTTATCGAAACTCTAGGTGTTAAGTTTAGTTGGAAAGCTGAAGAACTTCAAACTCCCGTCCTTAACGTAAGAGGGTGTATATTTAAAAACTACCGAGTCGTCTTTCACATCTTAAATTAAATATATCTCCACTAGGAGACAATCTGCCTTAACCTGATGATAACTGATTTGTTCTAAACTGTTAGTTCTCAACTGGTCATGGTGTGGATTTTTATCACAATTTACCCCATTAAAATGCGAAGAAACCTAAAGTACTAAATGTGATACAAAAAACTCGAATTCTCTTTCAAAATGGAAAAAATATATATACAAGTATGTATACATGTGAGAACGTTTATTTTTTAAATAAAGCACATACAGTTCTTCATAAAAAATGGTATTTCGACTTTAATAGCTCTTTTATGATCAGTGCAATGTAATCATTTTAACGAGGGTAATATTAAAAATCTAATAAAAAATTTAATTAAGAGTTGAAAGTTAAAATGTCAATAGAATATGAGTAATATGATGAAAAAAAGTCTGTGTTTTTTTTATTTGATTGTGCTAATACAACTTTAAAATTTTTTTCTTCCAGGACTGTCCACCTATACTTAAAATGTTTCCACTTTCCTCATTGAGAAGCCATCATTCGCAGAAGAAGAAAAAACCCTCCCTCTGCATTCAAGACTACACACAGCTTCATTATTTACTGAAATAAATTTGTTCTTAATATATATATAGTAATTTTGAAACTTTCTTGGATGTCGTTTTGTTTGGACTTGTGTTCAATCCTTTCCTTAGAGTATAACGAACAACTAGTGTCATCTTATGGTGAACAAGCTAATTTGTGGATCAGTTAAACTTGCAGATAGTTAAATCAACTTCCAGCCTACGTAAAGCCAACTAGAAATTTGTGATAACAACATATTGACGTTCAACGAATTTTCCGTGAACAATAGATAAATCTAGTAGACTTAGGGACAGATTATAATTTCATAATTGTTAAATTACTATGAACCATCAAACTTTATGCCATCAGCAAACATCAAGTTCAACTGTCATGATTAGCTTTATTACATGCGTTAAGCAAACCTAAACTCAAATTTAGTTAAACAGTTGAATATTACTGTAGTATGCTTTAAACAGATGACTTTTATTATTAGTCTCTTCTTTTTTTTACCTGAAACGCCTGTAAATTTTGTGAATAAACGTGCAGCTGTTTATGGTTAATATTACATGGCTCTGTATCGTATTATTGGAACAGTACTTTTCGTCTTGGCTTTCAGACCACGTTGAAATACGACTGCCTAACATCAGAACGTATACTTTACGTTTCTGGTATTTCATAACGACAGTACAGTCAAATTAAACGTATTATATGTAATGCGTACTTTATTCACTACTTAATAGTCGGGAACTATTTTAAAGTAAATTATATTCATTATTTAAAACAAAATTTAAAAAACAAAGATTCCTGATAACTGTTTGTTTTTAATTTATTTATTTTTAGGAATCAAGCTTTGAGCGGAATCGGCTCCAAGATACAATTCATTTTGGAAATGAATAAAACATATTTATGTATTTTAGTGTTTATTAAAGAGGGCGCAGGATTTAAGACTAAATTGTATTATAAGTCTACTATAATTCCTAAGAGATTTTTTTTTTCTTCTATTTTAAACCTGGAAGTTCAAGAACAGAGATTAGACTAACTAAGGTTTTATGTTAAAGGTTGTCATTGTCTAATCAGTGTAAGAAAGGAGTTTTAGTTTAGCCAGAAATAGAAATAATAAAAAGGCTCATACTGAATGTAAAAAACGAAAGATTCCTTTAGTTATTACTCATTATTCTGTAGTTAGTCCAAACAGTAAAAAAAAATAAACAAATATTCTCTTAGAAAGACAACCAAACAAACTGTATACAAATTTTAAATCAAAAACATATCAGTTGGAGAAAAGTATTTCCGTGTATTTGTATTAAAAAAAGAAAAAAGAGAAAAAAAGCGGTTATATTCAATGTGATATATATATATTTCAACCTGCTGGAGCTTAATTGAAGTATACAGTTACGTGAATCTAGTAAAAATATACAAGTTAATATTACCCCATGAATTGGACGTCGCACGAAAAGGGTATGTTAATTACAAGTGCGGACAATGGACAAAATTTAACATACTGTGAGTAACGAAACACCAAAGTAACAAGGGTTATTATTTAGGATTCAGTAACAGTGCAAACAAAGTAACAATTCTAGAGAGGGAGGAAGAGGTCTACGCTGAACCTGACCCTCCCTGGTCCAAAACATGGATAATAAAAAATAGTAAGATACATAGAAATAAATGTGGTAAACTTCGTTAATGCTACATTTTCACTTTTTTAAATAAAATTGTCGTGCGATAATCACGTTTAACCTCCTATCATCTTATGTATTTCCAAGTTATGTCTAATCTTAAGATTATGAGTTATTAATAATTAAGTACAGACGTACAACTTTAAAAGCCTTTTCCTCCTCCAAACAGTAAAGAAATATCATCAGGTGAATCTTGAAAGAGCTGTATGCTAAAGCAAATAGAAATGTTGTCACTATATTTAAATTACTTACAAATCATTTTATCACGAGGTTAATTTGAAAGTTCAACCAGAAATAATGTCACCGTATACTAACAACTTATGAACCATTTTAATTATATGGTTGATATCTTCGGGCAAACATAAACATTATCAATCTTGAAAAATATAATCATTAACAATATATATATATATATATTTGTCCTAATCTTTTGTTGGTATCGACAGAAGCCAATTAAAACTTGCTATTTTTCTCCAAGTAAACTGCTGTTGACACATCCATCAGAAGTTCTAATCAGACCCCAAATAATTTACACATGGATTAATTGAAACAATTTTACAGAATTGTTATTAGAGCAAAGTTGTCAGTATAAAGATCGTTATCAAATACAAAGCCTAAAAAAATAGTCCTTTTACTGTATACTAAAATCAAGTGTTCAATTTCATGATTTACAAACTAATATTGCAATATCATTTTACTTTGTCTTCTGTTATAATACGATGAGTAAAAAATTAAAAATATAGACCTGCAAGTTTATTTATTTCTTACACGAAGTCCTTACATATTGCATTGTGAACAGGTGTATCACGAGTCCATAACTTGTACAAAGTTAAGCTTCTAAATGAGGTAGCATCACATGGAATTTTCTTGTTTTATTACGACGGAGCATTTTGTTATAATTCATATATGGCTTCTGAATTTTATAACAAAATAGGTATACTATTTCTAACATAATAATAAAGTTAAAGCTATCGCATGCAATAACAATACCTATAACATTAGGTACAAATACATTTCATAGATGCCCACAAATAAAATAAAACAAACAGCTCATCACAGGTATACAAATATTAAATTTTTATTTAAATCCAACCATATAAAAAGAATTATTTTACATCAAAACAAGGTGTGCACAAAGCCTAATCTAATGACAAGGCATGTTTTTTTTTGCATAAAAGTGTTTAATAGTTTGGGGCTGAAGAGAAGTATTAACATAAAGATATAAACAACCTATTTCTTTTCCACTTTCTCTTATTAACAGTCCAATGTCGGCCATAAGAAAGAAGCAATACAGATTTTTAAAAATCTTTCCTGATATTTCCAGTCCAGAGTGTAGTAATCTTCAAAGATTTGATTGTTGATGGATAACAAAAAAAATCTTTCCTGATATCTCCAGTCCAGAGTGTAGTAACCTTCAAAGATCTGATTGTTGATGGATAACAAAAAAATCTTTCCTGATATCTCCAGTCCAGAGTGTAGTAACCTTCAAAGATTTGATTGTTGATGGATAACAAAAAATCATTTGTGGTGTTCTGTATCACATTTTTCTATCCAATGTAACACAAAATGTGTTGCTAAACACAGAAAGAAACAAGACTGGGAAATATGAGAGTATCCAGTATATAATAGTACCTACAATAAAAATTGATAATGGAGAAAATTTAAAACTTTTGACTGACTAAAACGTTTCTGGATGACATAAATGCTCAACTCCTTACATTTTAGAAGGATCTTTATAAAGTGGCCAACTACACAGAAAAAGTTATTACAAGGCTTTCGATTTTTTCTTGATCAGTTCAGTTAAAAAGGACTTCTTTCGTCTCCCTTTTCTTTCATTTTCTTCAGTAGTTGAATTAGAATCTGTGGAGTTTTCCTCATCTAATATGGCAGCACTTGTTACATTTTTTTTCACGGCTCCAGACTTTTTTCGTCTGCTGAGAGAACCTTGTTTGTCTCCATCGCTAATATGATGTGGCATGATGTTTGTAGGAAGTGTATTATGCTGACGTCCATTTATAACAGTTTCAGAAAGAGTGAGTCTGTTTAAGACACAGGGAGCCTCGTGCGAAGAAATAAGATGTGTGTCCTGACTTAAACTTTTTACCATCTTCCTTGGCAGTTTATTTGCTGGAGTTGAAGGAAATAGTTGGACATCTTGTTGGCTAAAACTGAAAAAATGAAATTACATTTCAAATAAACATATGGATATGACATTAAACTTTCCATTATACATATTATAAAAACATTAGTTCAATACCACATTTTAGCAGTTACTTAAATTAAAATCATGCCAACGAAATAAACCTTAAGTGCTTTAAAATAACATATTTTCACAACAATAAACTGAAACTTGATAAACTTAAAAGCAGATGTAATTGTTCACCTTAAAACTTTAGCAAAATACTACAACCACAGCTGTCCAATTCTTTTAAAATCAGTTATCTTTTACATCATAAAAGACATAAAAGAAACTGAATAAGTAAACAGTCTATTTTTATCTACAGTTTTTCTAACTGCTCATTAAATGATGATTTTTTCCAATATAATGAGTACTGAAGAACGTGTTTTAGGTTTTATTTCCTAATTTCATTAAAATACCAAACCTTCGATAGTGGTTTATACAATATTACCTAGGTGTAGTTAATTCATCTCAAAATTGAGATCAACAGGAATAAAGTTAAAAGGAATTCAATATCTTACTTCTCCATTTTCTTTAATACCTCTTAACAGGTCAATCCATTTAATCAATGCCATATTAAAAAAAAATGATATTTACTATAATGCTGAATTTACTCTGTGTATCTTCACAAAATTTGGAAAGCTTTTAGTAAATGTGAAAAGTCTTGTATGCAAGAAAATCAGAATTTCTCATAAAATTACTTTTACAAAACATTTGTCTGTGAATTTAATGAATCACTCTGACTATGAATAGCCGGAGTGCAAGGCGATTTTCATGTTAAAATAAAACCGAAATGTAAAAACTTAAACAAAAACTTTAAGTTTACCATATATTCCAGGATTAGTTGGTCAAATATTTAACATTTTTATGAAAAAAAACAAAAGATTTATCCCATATTTCAAGTTATAAATAAGGTACAGGAAATGTTTGGAAATACCAAAGATAAAATGGATATAACAAAAAAGGTAAGTATTTATAAAATAGAACGTCAATGTGATAATATTTATATTGGTCAAACAAAAAGAAACTTAAAATGCAAATTACAGGAACATAAAAGAAACAAAAAAAATTCAGCTAGAGCAGATCATGTACAAACAACACAACACACAATGCTACGAGACAAAACTATAATCTTAGCTCAACCTTATAATATTACAGCTTTAAATATCTGAGAATCATTGGAAATATCAAAGATTAAAAAAGAAAAAGGAGTATTAAACCAAGATGCAGGGTCATCAAGTCGCTTAACTGATATATAGCATGGCATATTGTAAACACCGACCAGCAATTTATGTAAATAATTCTGAAACACAATACCTCATGACATGCAGAAAGTTCAAATATTAAATTGTCTTGTAAATAACTCCACTAGGAGATTAGTTTGTGTAATTAAATATTTGGAGATTAGTTTGTGTTGGTACGTGTGATTAGATACTTGGAGATTAGTTTGTGTTGGTGTGAAACTAATCTCCAAATATCTAATTACAGTGTTGGTGTGTGTAATTAGATATTTGGAAATTAGTTTGTGTTGGTGTGTGTGTAATTAGATATTTGGAGATTAGTTTGTGTGTAATTAGATATTTGGAGATTAGTTTGTGTGTAATTAGATATTTGGAGATTAGTTTGTGTGTAATTAGATATTTGGAGATTAGTTTGTGTTGGTGTGTGTGTAATTAGATATTTGGAAATTAGTTTGTGTTGGTGTGTGTGTAATTAGATATTTGGCCTCAGTTTATTTTTGCAATCGTGTTTTTAACATGTTCCAGACAGGAAAATAAATTTTTTTAACCTATCTATTGCCTTTAGAAAGCCAGTTAAATCTTAGTTCTATTAGGATAATTCTATTCTATTGCTTTAAACATGTTTTGTGCTTTAAACTGTATATTTCAAAGCTCTAAGAATTTTTAATTGAAGAACTAACTTAGTGGAAAAAGAGAGGCCTAGCTCAGATATGGTTTGCACTGTCAAAGATTACTTGAGTCGCATACTTCGCTCCTGGAGTTTATGCTATGTGGCTAATTAACTTCCATTACATTTGTTGTTAATAAATAGATAGGCACTAAGTAGAACAACAAAATCATGAATTTACGGAAAACAGAACTGAAAAGGTTAACAGCTAAAACAAAATAAATTATGTATCAAAAAGAAGGAAAAAAAAGGTACTGTTTATCTTATTTCATATTTTTCAGTTTATCATTTCACTGTACATTTATCATGACTGGTGATTTCACTATAGTTAGTGTTAGGGTAGACAAAATATTACATGAAACATACTTTGTTTTTGTAAATATATATATTTTTATCTGCTACAGAATCTTGTATATAACAACCTATTCTTTTTATTGGTTATAAATAATCCAATAGTAAATGTCAGAGATTCCTGACATTTTTTTGAAAGACAAAATAAGACAGGGGTATTGGCATGTGAGTTTGAAAATAACATAGGTGGTATTGGCATGTGGGTTTGATTTTTTATTACGTACCTCAGCAAAGCAAGAAAAGATAGAAGTTAATATTCTCGCTTGCCAATATCTTCTATGCAAATGTCTAATTGATGGTATACTCAAATCCCATAGAGTATAAAGAAAATCCAAAATATGCAATTCAGGGTATAGATGTCACGAGATATAGAGAAGTGAAGAATGGGAATCAATCTAAGTATTTCCTTTTGAAGTTAAAACACAGATAATATACAACTTTGAGTTATAAATTAAATTTTGATTCCAAGCTTACTGACATACATTGATAATAAAGTTGCTTAACTAAATTTTTAATGTAACTCTGTAATAAGGTTGTGACGTGCACACTTTGACCCTCTTGTATGAATATTGTTAACCAAATAACTGTCTGATTCCATATTCTATGAAGACTTTGAATGAAAACTGCCAAATGATAACACTTTAGGTTTGTTATGAATTTCGTGCAAAGCTACACAAGGGCTATCTGCACTAGCCATCCCTAAATTAGCAGTGTAAGACTACAGGGATAGCAGCTAGTCATCACCATCCACCGCCAACCCTTGGGCTACTCTTTTACCAATGAATAGTGGGATTGACCCATGGCTGAAAGGACGAGCAGGTTTGGTGTGACGGAGATTCGAACCTGTGACCCGCAGATTGTGAGTCGAGTGCCCTAACAACCTGGCCATGCTGGCAGCACTATAGAGAATGAGAAAGTGTACTCTACGATTCACATTAACTAGGTCAATGTATAAAATGAAGAAAAAATATAACATTATTCACTCTTCAGTTACCTTTCTCCTACAATAAATTGTGGATTTCCACCTTCAGCAGACACTGTACAAGGAGCCAATGATGAGGCTATACTGCCATCTAACGATTCAACATCTTCCTCATAGCCTTCCTCGTCTTCCTCATGTTCTGATGAGGAATCTTGTTGGTGGAATGAAGTATTAGGAACATTAGTAGGTGACATACTTTCTGTTTTTAAGGACAGAGAACTAGGTGCAGATTTGTGGAGCTCCGAGGCTGCTGCTGTGACAGCTAATAATGAAGGCTGAATAACTACACTCTCCTTTCGTCCATCAGGCCCAAACAATAGTCGTGGGAAAGCTGGAACTGAACATGCAGGGATGGAGCCTAAATGGGGTAAAACAAACTTTGCACAATAATGTAAACTATACAGTATATGATTCTGTTTCGGTAATTATAAAATGTTGAAAACTATACTACTCTTCATGAATACATCTTCAAAACATTTGATATTCAAATCAATAATGCTGGCAATCAATAAAATTTTACTAATTTCAAGATAAACAACGAATATTGACAAATAAATTCTCAAAGTATTTCACTGTAGTTAACACGAGGAAAACATACCCTTAAAATATATTTTACCTTATGAATTATAAAATTATAGTTTTATACATGTTACGACACAAAATCACTACATGCAACAACCTCCAAGAGCACAGTAAATCTGCTCAACAGTTAAAGAAAAAAAAAGATAGAAATACACAGGTAATTATTAATTAATACAAAAAGAAAAGCATCAACTAGACAATTTAAATTATTTTATGCTTGTTCTTTCTGATTATGTTTCTATAACCTATTATTTATTTGAATACATTCTTCACCAAATTTTCTATAAATATTTATAAACGTTCTCACCCTTCCTATGCATTACAGTTGGTTGAATTGTCGTTGCCTGACTGACAAGGCAAGGGCTGCTATGTTCAGTGTTAAGAGCACCAGTAGAATAGTCAAGCACACTATGCTCACTATAGCCACACATAGTGAATCGGGGTACAGGGGCAAGAAAAGTGGAGACAGAGCTGTGCACTAGATAATGAACTACGTGAAGCACGAGAAACAGTCGAAATCATCACACAGTTAGTATACCAAAAGAATTAGCAATTAAAAGAAAATTAGTAACAAGAAACAATTCAGCTCATAGTACATAAAAGAATGTGTTAAAAGGTGGAATTTGGAAGCATAGACTTGTTTAAAAAAAGCTGATAAAAAAGAAAGAAACGTGACACACAGAGTTACCTCATGATAGAGAGTGATTAATATAAAAATAAAAAACATATCATTTAAATGTAAAAAAAAAATGCTTAGAATGTTTTAAACATGATTCCCAAAGTGAATTTTGATCAAAGTTTGAATATTTATTTAGCTTTGAGGAAAAAATACTTAGTAAGTGTACATAAAAATCATACTAACCTGCACCACCAAGTCCAGCACTACCATAAATAGGGGGACTACTATCTTCTAACAAAGTTGCTTCACTCCCACTACGGGTTAAACTTCCTTCTACAGGTAAAAACACAAATGTAAGTACTATTGCCTTGTCTCTCACTAGATAAATACAAAAAGCAATTAATACAAATTTATGAGAACATAATTTAACAACTGAGAACAGAATTTTAAGTATATTATGTTTACTGTTTGACATCTTTACAGGACGTGGTGTCTTGCAAAGAAAATTTGTAGTCTAATAACAATGAGCAATGTACTTTAAAATGTAGTTTTTACCGTAATATCTTGACATAAACAGTGTTTTGTAAATACGATTTTAACTTTAATATTTATGATTCTTACTGTAATATTTTTAGAAGAGTGGTGTCTTGTGAATATTATTTTTACTTTAACATCTTTACAAGTGATGTTTTGTAAATATCATTATCTTTATACATTTACATGAGTGATGTCTTGTAATTAAAAATAGCAGGGAAGATACTTTCATCAACAATTGTTGTTAACCTACCAGGGAAAAAAAAACTACTCTCTCTCTCTCAATAATCCTGTTTGAAATAATGTCATCAGAAAAAGCAGAGACATGTATATTATTAGACCATAGTCAAATTTTCCTTTGTGAGTTTTGTGAATGTTTATCCAAATCCAGATGATTAATTAGAGAATTATAGGTAAACTGAAAAAAAAAACAACACGTATTTCAAATCTTATAACATATTCTACCTGGAGAATAGGCCTTCCCCAAGCTACTACTAGATGTACCTTGTAGCAACAACTGTAAATTTCTTAATCCAGGGTTATATACAATAGGAAAGTTACAGAGTAGTTCAATCTGTCTCCAGCGATGTAATCGTTCTTGAAGGTCTTGAGTTACTTCCGATAGAGCCGATCTTTGACAGAACAAAGGGGGTTAGAAAAGGTAAAACATCAACATTCATGTATAATAAAAACAAATTTCCTAATACAGAATGTGCCTGCAATGTAGCTCATGAATCTAGGCCATGTAAAATAATGGTTTTGTAATTTTCTTTTCACACTTGAAAAATATTTATTTGGAATAAATTACAAAGTACCATTTAGAAAAGTATAAAATATTATACGATATTAAAATAATATTACATAGAATTAGATTAAGTTAACGGACAATATTACAATGTATCGGAAATCGAACAAAACAAAGGATAATTTAGCTAGAATTTTCATAATTCTGTTACAGCATCATTATCATAATGAAAAAAAATGTTTTAATGTTACAAACTGCTTGGTGAAGCAATACAATGCTTTGATGCTCTTGCTTGAATCTCTGTTGTTCTGTGGGTTAGTGGCATAACAAGGTTCTGAAAGACCCCTCTATCAAGTAACCCCCTTTCTCCACAACTGCACAGCTCCAAAAATTTCCTATCATGCTAAAGAAAGATTATGCTGAGTAACTTTCATAAGTTTACCAAATGGATAAAAATGGTTGTCTCTATGGAACAGTGCTAGAACTGTCGGATCTAACAAACAAAAGTAGGAGTAAATACTGTACGTGTTTTAAGTTCATAACGTCATTAGGGCCATTGCTAATTCCTCACACAGAATTGCCCAATCTTCCAATTTAAATTCATAATGTGTATAAATTAAAGATAAAAAAGAATTACTTAACTATGTCTTATTTTAACATTCCATATTTTATTGGCCAAGCTTGCAATTTCTCTCTTCAAAATCAACTTACCTCCATAAACATTAATATACAATATTGTTAGAATAGTTTTCCAATGGTAGTAATTCTTACATCATTGTTGTTGTAATGACAGAGGACGTGTCATTGTATTTCTAAAAAACTGTTCAGCTCTATTTTCTGCAATCATTTTTAAAAGTTTTTTTTTATTATAACAGTTAGCTAAAACGGTCTTCAAAAGAGAAGTGGAAAACTTGCTCAACACATAAAATAATATTGATTTAGTATTTGTTTTCTCACTGGCAAATCTTTATTATTATTTTTTTCCTTTTTGTATAAGTCATTCATAATTTTTAGTTAGCCCATCTCAGCTCTAGGAAGACTGCTCTATTGGTATATCACTGGTGTGGGCAGCTTACATGGATATCTTGGAAACTGTCAAACCCAAAAATGAAATG